GTTTCACCGACCGGCCCTAGCTTACGGAAAGACGTTCTCGCTGGCGGGTGAATGGAAAACCCCATATGACAATATGCACGAACTCAGCAAAGTCTATATGTAGGTTGGAGGAAACTGTCTTTGAGCAATACGGGATGTTGGGATTACAGTGCATGTTGAGGGGCGTAAACTTCACTATCTATACATTGCTCACTTGCGCAATGATACATTTGGTAAATACACGAGCGACGAGGTGCCACCCCCCATGTTATAGTGCATTATGCTGATAGGATACAGATTGCCGCTACATGCCCTGATCCAGAATTTAATCATGATGCAAAGGAGTACTTTACGAGAACCATGCGGATATTAGAAAACTGTATTGACAATTCAGCCTCATCTGAAGTGAAAGGACAAATCGAAACCCTACGTGAGGCGTTCTCACTCGACGTCAACCGGCCTTTCGTTCTCAACCCAAATTTCCCCTTCTATCCTGGGGTCTCGGGACCTGTTGATCCGAGCATTACCCGTGCTTACACCCAAGGAGAAAGTTCAACTCTCGCAACGGGCCCAGTCAATTACCCCACTCATCCTCTATCACCGCCACATTCAGCAGGAGGTTCGGAACCAAAAGGAGAGTCACCAGCAGCCGTACAATCTTTGGTTATGTTAGCAGCGGGCCAAGGAGCACAGAACTCAACTCCGATCGTAGATACGTTGGCATGGAACCCTTCGCGATTATTCGAGTTTGTGCCCCCATTTTATGTTCTGCGGAGCTGCAATCGTGCTAACAAGTGAACCTAGCAACTGGAATGCGGCATTTGGGGTTAATGGGACGGTATCAGCTGCAATGCCACAAGCGCAGATGGCAGCTCATGAGAGCGGACTTGTGGATCCGCTAGGCGGTGGGCGCCCACCTTCATCAAGCTCTTATGTTCCTACAACTGTAGGAGTTTCGCACTCATTCGTGTCCCCCGGCATGTGGCAAGACTCTGTTGCCGCTGCCGCTGTGTTTAGCGATTCTCACAAACGACCATTCCCATTCGGTGGAGAAACCGTCTGGCATCCTTCGCCGTCCACAGATCGAGACCCCGTATCCCCGCCAACTTTGCACGCTGATGCTGGAAGGAACAGTCGTTAGTGGAGGGGGGGGTGGGAGAGGGGACATGATGGCTATGGATGATACTCAAGTATGTCATACTTGAATATCATACAGGCTTGGATCGGCGACAGGAGTTCTCCCGTTTTGATCGGTAGGGGCCACGGGGTCCGGCAAGGGCAGTTACACGGGTGGTATGAGTTAAGTTAGATCTTGTATCGCGATTTTATTTTATTTCTCTTTGATGATCGCTGAGGGCAAAGAATAATTCCCGCTCTCTTGGTGCTATTTTGGGCTGATCTCGTCCGATCCGCTTTACTGCGGGTTGGACCCACTGACTCTTTCTTGACCTTTTCTTCATATTCATTTGATATCTGGAGGCTTACCGGTATGGATCGTAGATATATTTGTATAGTTCGCCATTTTCTTTTCTTTCACTCCTCAACCCGCGTCTATCTCTTTCACTCTATACCATTTTCTTAATTCGCACCCCTTCCAAGCTTCTCTCATCATATCAATCTTTACCTTTGTTTATTTCATTTCACTTGCTAGGGACACGGTTAGGGTCAGGTTTTCTCACCATCATATTTGTTGCACTTTCCCCCACCTTCCGTTTTATTATATACCATTCGATAATATCATTATCATTTACCAATAACATTAAATCTCTTCACATTCAGCTTTGTTTTTTATATTTTTTTATATTTATATTTTTTTGGGGGGGTGGGGTGGTGAAAAAAGGAGAAGAAAAAAATCTGTCCAAATCGGCAATACCGCGATATCATGACCGAAATTGCCCATTTTTCCATCCTCCAGCACAAGTCAACACACCACCCCAGCTAGCGTGCGGTCGTAACGAAAATCCACAATACTTGGCAAGAGACGAGCTCATGAGGAACCCCCCATCCCCCTTCACAAACCAAACTTTGCGATATTATACCACATAACCCCCCCATGTTCCGTGCCGTGCATCTCACGAACCTTAATGAAACCCCACAAATATCGCGCCGCACCCCACATATCGGGCGTAATTTGTTGGTACAGTACTGTATATGCAGGCACTTCTCCGTGCCTGGTAATATTGCCCCGTGGGGCTTCGGCGTCGCTTGCCTAAATCGGCATGCACGCTCCGACCGACCGGTGTGGTGTGGCACGGGATATCACTCGGGGTGCAGCTTGCTCTAGGGTTTGGGCAGGAGTTCCGTCAGTTCCGCTCGGTGGTGTTGGCGGTGCTGGGTGATGGGTAGTGGAGGGGATGGTGCTTGGTGGCACCAAGCTATGTCTGGGCGGGGTGGAGAAATTGTCCTGGAAAAATTTGGCTGCCGACATAGTAGATAGATGGGGAAAAAATAGAACAAAAAAAAACCTGGTTCATAATTCAGGGGTAATATGATACAAAAAGTGAGTAAGTATGCAAAAAGTGACCAAAAAAAAACTCCTTTGTACCGTCTATGATTGGGAATTCATCTAAGCCTGTAAGAGTGGTAGGATGCATCAGCAATCACTCGTTCCGCTGGGAAACCACAAAAAAGTAAAGAAAAATAAAGACATACCCAAGCGCCAATGAGCGCCATGCCGAATCCCCCAGCAGCCACTGCTCCACAAGCTTGATATCTTCTCTTCCCAGTAAGAACAACATAACTCTCATCGCTGAGAAAGTCCTCCGCTAGTAACTCGACGAGGCCAGCAAACAAAAGTAGTCCACTCGAAATTGCATTCATGATTCCGACCATTAACAGACCGGTTTGAGACGCGGGGTCATATAGCTTCCGGGTTGCGAGACCGATTGCTTGCCCAATGGGAGTTGTGGTACCATATGCCAAGCACATTAACCATGGTTTCCAGGAACCGTTGTCGAATGCTTTTAGGCCCGCGATGCGGGAACCAAGTGCTAGGCCCTCGAAGGTTTCTGTGGAAGGTCTGTCAGAGATATCACGGGCATGCCCGAATATGGGGACCTACGATGAAAAGTAATAGCAATCAATAATACAACGAAATTAGACCCAGTAGCAACGCTGAGAGCCATGCCTATGGAGAGTAAGCTAAGGTGTTCACATTGTAGCGGTTTTTTTGGTGCTAGTTGTGCGTCACTCAAAGTACGTCATGGGGAGAATCATACCAATGAAAACACTATGAAACAATATACCAGCCTCCAGTAACATTACTTGCAGTAAATTTTTCTGCTGCAGTTGTGCTTCGGTTAAACGACCGCCAATATTGCCAATATTATGCCTCTGCCTGCTGCTAGAATTAGACTGAGACCGAGCCCTCCTATTTACAGTCCTAGTTTCTAGTTCATGGTTTCCCCCATCCTCAACTTCTGTATCGGATAAAGCCTTGTCATAAACCCCATCGTCATCCCGTAAGAGTTGATCAGTGTCAGCCGAAAGATCCTCCGCTGAGGAGGAAGGCATAGCATCCAGGTCTACACGGGCTCTTGCTCTCTCTATCCTTTGCAACTGAGTACCGATACTAGCACTTCGTCGGTGGCGGGGCCTCGTCGACATCATAGTGCCCTGCCCCGCCGCCACTATTCTGGGTAATACCGTACCAATCTCCTCGAGTTCTTCGGGACCTCTCCTTTCCTCAACTAGAGGTGGGGACGGAGCGAGAGGGTCATAAATGCCCCCGGGCCCAGCGTGACATCCACCCATTGCACCGCCGTTCATTGACGAGAATATCATTTCAACCGAAACAACCACAAAAACCGCTACCATGGCAATCAGACCCGCCATCGCAGGATACCCTTTGTTCCAGAAGGGTGGCAGGCATGGATCGGTCAGAGAAGTGAAAGCGGTAGGTAAGAGCTATGAGCAGTAGATAGTATGCATTAGCCTGCTGTAATAGCGAAGGTGAGTGCATTTTTCTTCTTCGATTAACTTACGTGGACAAAAGCTGTAGCAATAAGAACGCCAGTGCCAAAACTGGGGATAGGTCAACATAAGTCCAAAAGTTAGAAGTAGCTCGAAGCTAGCAAATCGGTAATGAGAAGGGGAGAAATCACTGTCTGGACAGAAATCTACAAAGTTGTCAATATGGGACTACCTAACATCAAAGAGGGCCAAGAATCGCACAGGAATTTTCGCGGGACCCGTAACTGCGGGAACCTCTTCACAATCAACGGAACCGAGCATGCTAGATTTGTGACCAATTGTTAGTTGGGGTGAGTAAACTTTTGCCCGACACCGTAACCCCGGGACCAACGCTGCAGAGGTGCTCCTATTCAAGAGCGGGGCAATAGAGTAACAAAAGGACTGTGATAAAGTTCAAAGGGCTTGAACAAACATAATATGCTTTGAAATAGCACTATAAAAAGTGCAAACACGTGTAGTGGTAGATTGTAGGTTCCATCAGATTTGCCGCCGCAGACCTTGACCCTCATTCTTAGCAGACATTTTGGCTGGGGACGAAGCAAACGCAACATACGAGGGACGATCTTGTAGTAAGCTCCGGCGCAAGGTAGGGTGGGTTTTGGTTGAATCCTTTTCGAAGTTAGTCAACTCCCCGTGAAGACGCATACTCTACACCGATCCGAGAGGGAGGTTCACCATCAAGATTCAAGGGGTTCGAATCACGGGTTGGGCAATTCATGGTGGGGTCCTGGGGGGAAATACTCTCGCCAGAAAAATGGTACAACAATTATTATGTAGTATAGAGGGTTCGGCCGGCGAGTAAGCAGAAGTGGAGGCGATCGTGAAAATCCAAGACAGGAGGGTAAGCTAAATGTGCGAGAGGAGGTTTGAGATGTTTCGATGACGGGCGCGAACTTGGAAATTCGGACCGTTGCGCGCAGCATGATAACCCTAACCTTTACCTTATGTGGCTGAGACGATCCTTACATCTGATAAGCCGGGCTTCGGTATGATAGGAAAAAATATTAATTCTAAAGGTGGTGAATCATAATGGCTTACCAAATGGCTGCGACTTTCTCAAGTAGTTTTTGCTATCGTGTTTCACATGTTTGGAATCGGTTGGGCAGGAGCATTTATCACTAATTATTTCGATACACCCCCACCGATACTGCCAAGGAAGGATTGATGCTTAAAAGCCATACATCAACGCAGGCCAGTAGATAGTGTCGCAGCCCGCTAGACATCTAAAGTTGTCCCTTTTGGGGCCCCATGGCCACCAGACTGCGCCTCTGGTTGAATTATAACGGGCAAAAGGTCGCTCCGGGGGGGTGGTTGCAGATGGCCATTAGAATGGCCATTAGGAAAGCAACATGGCCTGACCATTTTCGAGAGAAATAGCCAGATATGTGGATCAGCCAGAGTCTAATCACAGCAGGACAAAAACTCGTACAAAAACCAAAGAGTAAGAATTTGTCAAGGCCCAATCCGGGCAACTGGCTTAAAGTGTCATACCATTGATGATATTGTACAAAACGAAAAGAACAGGAGCGCCAGTGCCATCTGTGGATAGGAAGAAACGTGATCGTATTCGGTTGGGGATTAATTCATTGTATATGCCTATTGCTCCTTCTCGAGCCATGCCTAGCTTATTCGCTCCAACGCCTAGATAGATGTTAGTCTGAAGATTAGAGCACCGGATGGGGAGGGGCGGTGGTAGTACCTCTAGCATAACAACTGAGTTTCCACGGATCACCACCGTTCCGATGCGAACTTTCTCGCCTCCATCCTTCTCTTCGATAGCGTCATCGAGGACGATGTTTAGGAATACCTACAAGTTTTTATAGTCAGCACCATAGATCTCTTGGAAGGAGCGAGAGATCGTGATGGGGGTGGCCGAAGAGAGAGATCAAGCATACATCGTATCCTCTAAGGATGCCAATAACTTTGCGAGATCCATTCAATTGAACGAAGAGGCGCTTATCGAGATACTATTCGAACGTTAGTGGCCGTTCTTCGTGACACTCATTGAGATAAACGCGACTGGGGTAAAGTACCTTTTTGAGTTCGGGTTGTGCTTGGGGCATCTTGACAATATGGTAGGGGAGGATGTGTGTGTTGAGGTTGAAGTTGAGGTAGAGCGGCTTTTGTCACCAAAGGTTGTGGGGGCTTGGCAGTCTATTGTCGAAGGTTCAACAACCTAGCTGCGGTGCGTTTGTTCGGTCCTCCCAACACCCCCACAAATTACTGAAATGCGCTCCACGTTTGCTTCTCGACGTCCAAAGACGAGGGTAGTTGCACGAGATGACGAAAGTGAGGAAGAGGAGCAGACAAAAGTAGTCAAAGCTCCTCCGAAATCAACAGAGCAATCCCAAGGTTTGCATCAATCTTCCCCAAACCCTTACCACGCTAAATTCAGGAATTACAGGCAGTCTATCTCGCCCAAAAGGGAAGAAGCGTTCCAGCCTACGGTTATCCTTCGGCTCCGATGCTTCCATTGTCGATGATGAAGAAAGAGAGGTCTTTGCTCTCAGAAAGTCGACCTTAAGCCGGAAAGCGATCGAGAAAAATGCTGCCAGGAAGTCGGGCCTCTCGGCCGGAGTAATTGGCATGGAGCATCTTAATCTCACACCCAGTATTGACAGGCCTACATACTCGAAAGAACATCTGGATGAACTGCGGAGCAATACACCTACAATACCATTATCTCAACAGGCAGACTTGGAGGTTGAGGATGTGGATATGGATGTTGTTGGAGCGGATGTCCCCGAGACAAACGAGAATACAACATTGACTAAATACGGAGAATCGTCAAAACAAGAAACAATTATTCCGGATGAGGGCTTGGTCAGGGTTATGAAAGCTCGGCGAGCGGAGAAGGCAGCAAAGGCTAAAGCTGAAGATTACATTTCCCTAAACATTGGTAGTGATGGTGGGAGTGGGGAGATCCTTCTGAAGAGCAAAAAGAAGGAATCAAGGATACAACGGGCAGACGACAACCTGTACGATGAAGAGGAGCTGGTAAAATACATTGAAGACGGCGGAATAGTACTGGGTGGCAAAGCCGCGCAACGAGCGCATGATCGGAAGAGACGGGAGAACATTCGAGAGGCTATTAAAGAGGCAGAGGGTATCCATGATGATGCAATGGATATGGATTCAGATTCTCGAGATAGCTTGGTGGAAGAATGGGAAAGGGACCAAATTAGGAAAGGAGATTTCTCGAATTCCTCAGGCGGTGGGATAGCCAGGGATCTCGAAATGCTATCCAGACAGCCTCCGGATGTTACGCCATTACCCAATCTTGATGATGCGCTGCGGAGGTTGGAAGAGACACTTGCGGCTATGGAATTCAAGAAAGCGCAGACGGTTCGACAGATGGAGGCACTTCAGGCCGAGAAGCAGGAAATATCGGAGAGGGAGGCTATGGTTCAGCAAAGACTTCAGAAGGCTAGCGAAGAGTACGAGAAACTTAGTGGAGGCCTGGGAATCGGCGGGGGCGGTGGGGCTAGTGCTGTCGGCAGGGGATTGGAAAGCTTTGGGAATACCCCAATTAGGGTTGATAGGGAGACGTGATATTTCTTGAATGTTTTCATAAGGCGCTTGGGATTTATAATGCTTTTTCTGCTTTGTGATGGGAAGGGTATAGACTTAAGCTTGAATAGTCACCTGTATTTTTACTTTTCATGCCAAAAACACAATACCGTCTGCCGTTAGCATGAAATGTTAAAGGCTACAATACTTGTAGTGGTGGATCTGTCAAGTCATGAGGTAGCCTACCGGTAGACTACTCGAGCACAAGTCCCTCATTTCTCTTCAGTTGCCCGTCTTGCCCGATACGGTATTGGTATGTATGATACTGCATTCACGGGCAAGTGAGCCACACACAGGGACCCATGATAAGGCTGGGGCAAGCCCATCACCATACGTACAGTAAACAAACACACAAATGAAGACCGTATCATACTGATCGAGCCCCGGCCTCGATATGATAGCCAGCGACTCAGATCTGGTCCGTCAGTCCGGTTAAGGTTAAACCAGACCAATTCCATAACTCCAAGGCCCAAATTCAGCTAATGGTAGTACCGAGGACCTGAGGTCAATCACGGTCAACCCCCCCCCCCCCTACCGTAGGTATAGTACCGGTATGCGGGGATTTTTTTTCCAAATTGCCACTTTCCAGGAAACCCCGAGTGTCGCAAGCCGTGCACCCACCACTTCGAGATACAGTTTCCAGGCACCGTGACTCGAGGTACCGTATGACAACAGGTGAGATAACTGTACCGGTATTTCAGGGTGGATCCCGACCCCCTAGCACGATCTCGCTGATGATCACATCCCACTGCGTGCTACCGCAGACCCCATGCACCAACCGGAGACTGCTCACGATGGGCAAAAAAAAAAAATTACGGGTACGGTACTGCACTCTGGGACGCTACAATCCGAATATCGTTTTCCCCTTACATGAGTTGGTCGATACCGGTACCGTATTGTACCATATCAGTACTTTCACACGGCACTACCCCAGCAAGGCCCCCCCGTAGGGTAGGAGTGGGGGGATATCTCGAGTACAACAGATTCGGAAATTAGACTTATTCGCTCAACA